ATTAAAAAGAAGACGTGAGAAAAAAAAAGAGATAACGATGAAATATGATTAAGAAATACAAGGAAAATACTATAAAGAAGAAAAACTAAAAGATAAATAAAAATAAAAAAGAAGAAGATGAAAAACAATTATGTGGAGACGATGAATTCGTTTTTGTCTTAGTTCAATTGGTTTATGAGTTCAATACACTTATAAACATTGTAGTCTTTAGTTTTGGATGGTGTTTACTTTTTGAATTTATTTAATTTTATCGTATATGTCTTAAAAATAGTTGTTTAATTTTTTTTCAGTTTTTAACATTGAAATTTCTATGCACGCACAAGGTGCATATCAAACACCTAGTTAAATAGATAAAATTGAAAAAAATCAAGAAATTTAGCCAGCTTTTATAGTGACTAAGCATGAGATGGAGGAGGATAAATGTCACAATCCAAATATATATATGCATGGACAAGAAGTACTCAAGACTAAATAGAAAAAGTTAACATAATTCAAAATATATGAGTTTTTTTCACATTACAAGCAAACAATTTTACAGAGAAGTTTTCTGCAGTAACAAGTTTATTGTCTCAAAGGACAAGGTTGTTGTAACAAATTTCATAGTAACAGAAAAAATAGTTTATCAGATTCCTCGTACGGCTGCCTCAAAACTCCTCTTTCCTGAAAATAGGATTTTAGTGGATTTCCCTTCTTGGCCATTTTCTTTGCCTTGTGAGCGTTTTAGACATTTTCATCTGACATCTTTATCGGCATCGTCATCTTCATCCTTAATGTCATTCTCATACTCGTCATCATTGACATCCTCACCATCTTCCTCACAGCCATCGAAAGTACCAGGAGTTTTCTGTACACTCCATTGAACAAGCGTATACAACAGTTGAATCTGAAGCAATACTCTTAAGAAAGAAAGGGAACATGCAACGCATCTTACAAACCGTGCAGAATGGTCTAGTCATACCATCGTTGGGAACTAGTTCACCTCTGCGGTATTTTCTCCCTGCTTTGAAGTAATACATGTCTCCAAGTACACACTTGATATGGAGAGTGACCCCACATTCATCACATCCATAAAACCATACGCTTGGATCTGTCTTTCCTTCACAAATATCACACCACAATTGACCTTTTGAGTTTCCAGCACCATGATGCAACGATAAAACGTGATCGTCGCATCTGTGTTTCACTTTTCTTGGTAAAGTGGCACATTCCATGCCTAAAGCGAACTCACAAACAATACAGCATAAGACATACTCTGAATCTTTACCACATCCTCCACAAGTCTTAGGCTCTGTCGAAGTGCGGTATAAGGGATGGGGGTGCAGTTCATGGTGAAAAGGCTCAGAAATGTTCGCACACCGCAGATCTAATTCAAGATTACAAAAAGACTCACAATAGTGCATGAACCCATCAAAAAACTGACGACAGTAGGTACACTTGAAATACTCCCTAGCCATAAACGAAGAACCAGTTTCTAGTGAAAGCCTGTGTTTGTGCAGGATATGTCGTTTCTTATAAGAAAGAATTGCACATACTTTATGAAGGAAGAACTCGCATTGCACACATTTGAAGAATGGATCAGAACTGATTGGAGCGATGCAAGCTTCACACAACATCTCTTCATACTCGGCAGCGTTATCATCCCTAAGTCTTAGATTATGTCGATGGCTACAATGTTTGATTTCTTTTTCATTTATTACCTGGTACGTATACCGAATTTCTTTTTCTTCAGGCTCATCTTCGAGTTCTTTTTCATCCCACACATCGTTCCTTATCGCACACTTTGAATGAACAGCATAACTAGGACACTTCTTGCAAGAGAAAGCTCCACAGGTCCAATCCATCTTTTTGCGACAAACTCCACATTGCCAATCACCATGTCCAAGATGATAAGTGCGAGAAATGCGGTGTTCATGACGATTAATATTTATGACTCGGGGCAAATCAATACAATCTTTGTGAAGCATGAATCCACATTCAATACAAATGTAAGGATTACGATCACCAACTATCCCACACCCATTACAAGTGAAGGAATTTCTTACCGGCATGAGGGTGAATGTATGGTTGTGGCTCTTTGGTTGGTAGATAGTAAGGGGTGGCTGTATAATCCAACAATCCATATCTATGCTGAAGTTACATGTGGAACAATGATACATCCGCTCACCAAGTACTCTTCTACAAAAATGGCATCTACTATCTGTATAGTCAACTGTCTTAGTTAGGACATTCTTGAGAGGATGTTTGGAGTGACTCGGGTGGGTGATGATGTCTAGGCCGTCGATGCATTCTGCATGCGCTCCAAACTGGCATCTTGAACAGTAATAGCCGTAACCAGATGCTATACCACATCCATCGCAATTGTGTGATGGGCTTCTGTATATCCAGTGTTGAGGATCTACGGCAAACTCCAAGTCTATGTATCTTAACATATGATTGCAGGGAATCTTTACTCTCTGAGTTTGTTGGTCCATAGTGAGTTTGAGATTGGTTTGATTTTTGTTGGGTGTAGTTAAGAGATTGAATAAGCAAAAGGCAGAGAAGTTCCTACTTTTCTCATGTGAGGCGACACCTTTGTATACTTCCTTGCTAACTCAACTTTTGTTTTTGAGTATAATATTTTACACGGTAACAAGTGACCTGATATTTTACATGTAACCACTAGCTGTCAGTGTCATTCATATTTTAGTATTACCCATGTTTTAAATATTGGTATTACCGATAGTCATTGACTTTATTGACGACACAACCAGCTCATCATGAAATAATACAACATAAAGTAATGGGCTCCTTTTTTCGTGTATTTTATTTGTTGAGAATTTAAAATTGATCTGCCGACAAAAAATAATCTTACTATACAGATTACTTTGTCATTTAGTCTAGCGGCGATCATTTTGTTGAAATTCGCCAAGTGTCTAGATAAAAACCTGGAATTAATCAGGAATTAGCTTTGTAAGTTTTTTTTTATAATTTTTTTAATATTTATAAATTTTTAAGATTACATTGGTTAATAAATAATTTGTTTTTCAAAGCAATGATGAATTGAAATGCATGAGTTTTTTTTTAAACATGGTTTTCATATTCAAAACATGAGAAGAAGAAATTTAAGTTTTTCAAATTAGAAAGACATGTAAGAGTTTCAAATTAGAAACATAAAAATGAAGATCAAATTCACATCTAGTTAACAAAAGAGAAGGCTAATCACATGATACACGAAATATATTGTCTTGATCTTGAGAATAAACAAAAAAGAGTTAAAAAGACATCAAAATCTTCATCCTTTTCTTCTCCGATCCAAATATCTAGTAATCATGTGTTGTGGACTTCTTGATATGTTTGATCTTCACGTACGGCCTACTAAAATAAGCAAAAGTCCCACGTAGTCAAAAAGATTCACGTAAGAAAACATATGAAATTAGAACAGCAAATAAGCAAAAGTCCCACGTAGATCAAAGAAGCAAACTTCATTTTGTTTATCAAAGTTCATGATTTACGACTTCATTTTATATGTAAAGACCAAGTTCATGATTGTTAAGCAAACCAAAAGCAAACACTACTTTTGTGAGCTAAAAAAAAGATCAATTAAGCAAACCAAAACAACTAACAAGTAAAGAGATTCATACATATTCGGATTGAGAGAGACATCAAACTAACCCCACATATTATCAGAACACAGAACATAGAGACAACAAAGCCAATAGACCAAGACATGTTATTTGGATTGAGAGAGACATCAAACTAAACTGATTAAGAAGGTTGGGAGTCATGAAATAGAGGGAACCTCTTGATATACATCAGATTCAAACTCCATTTCGACAATGTCTTCCGGTTCAGAATCGAAATCATCATCATAAAGATCTCTTACCCTTGGAGCTTGTGTGGCCAGAATAAAATTAATGGCATTCCCTTGCTCTTCTACACGCGGTTCAGCAATCCAATCTTCCACCGTATCTTCATTGCCATCTTCAAAGATCACATCACCATTCTTTTCTCTGATTTTTTTTTTGCTTATTCAACAGCCTAGCATTAAATTGGACATAAACTAGATTGTTTAAGCGATTAACAACTAATCGATTCCTTTTCTTTGTGTGGATCTGCAATAGAAGATAGAATCGTCAAGAAGAATACAATATGAGTTTCTTAAAATCAGAACGGAGAGATAGAACAGAATAAGCTCACCCCTTCAAAGCTACTCCAGTTTCTTTCACATCCAGAAGAAGTGAAAGAGTTTCCTCTATTGCTTGGAACTCCATTTCTCAACACCACAGGAGCAATAATTGAATTTGATACCCAAAGAGTGGTGCTCACAAAGGTAGATAAAGAAGTCTCTTACCCTGTTAAGCCCCCATCAGCTGATTTTTGTTGTACTGTTGTTGAAGAGATTGATGAGTTCAAGAACTATTAGATGAAATATGTGGGAAGCATTGATATCATAGGATAAGCTCAACCTCTTATAGCTATGGAGAAGAAGAAAGAACCCCAAATCAAACCTCACTTTAAATATGCAGATGGGCATCCCTTTATTAGGGAAGAAGCTTTCTTGATCTTATTTTCCCCTACCCCAAGTGAGGAAGTGCTGAGCAACATCAAGGGCAATGGTTTCTAGATCCAAAGAAAAAAATCCAAAATGCACCAAAAAATCCATCCTTGGATCTTCTTCTCAAGCCATAACTCTCATTCCTTGGAAGTTTGATGGTAGAACTGTAGGCTATAAGGTTCAATGCAATGGAGGATCAAAACCATTTGCTGAGATCAGGTCAGTCCTTACACAAGCAATCATAGATAAGGGATCTAAGGGTGTTCAAGAGCTGATGAACAAGGGCTTCAGGTTTCAATCAAATGACAAGGGATCTGATGGTGCTCAAGAGCTGATGAGAAATCATGCTTGAATCCATATACAAGATAAGGAGCATCAATGCTCCTCCTCACCCTCACTAAGAAAAGAGCGTAAGAATTCAAACTTAGTGACTTAAAACAAAGTGCTCTTGGGAGACACCCCAAGCTTATCCTTTTACAGTATTTTAATCTTTTCTTTTTATGTTTTAGGATGTTTTTTGATGTTTTTGTTGAGTATTCTCAGGTCATAAGTGGTGTCTGTGCTTTGAAACCCCAAGCAAAGGAGACCAAGGTGGTGAAAGATGGAGAAATAGCCAAGTGTGAAATGGGGCCTTGCCTTGTGGCCGCGGGTTAAATATACTCAAGGCACAGTCGTTTTGAGCAAAGAGAGAAGGTGCACATGTGCCTCAACCTGAATGCCTCAAGTTAAAACACCTCAAGGGCCAAAAATCCAAATGAAATGCTAAGACCTCGAGGTGAGGCCGCAAGTTGATCAAGGCGAGGCCAGGTGATTTTTCAAGCAGAAAACGAAGGCCATATGCTTCAAGTTGATTGCCTTGGGCTAAGACAAGTGGATGCATGGCGGAGAGTAGGAACAAACCCAGAAAACTGAGGCCTCGACTTGTATGCCTCGGCAATAACCAACTCAAGGCATAAATGTACTTGGTGCCAAATGAAAAGGCTCCAAACCTCGGGTACAGGCGTGGGTGATGGAAGGCGTGGCAGGGTTGAAAAGATGAGCACAAACCCAGAAGATGTTGCCTCGGGTTGATGAAGAACAGACCAAGGCGAGGCACCAAGGCGAGGCAAGGGTACAAAGGTGCAAGATCAAGCTTTTACCATCACTTCAAGAGCATCTAGATCAGTGCAAGGAGCAGCATCTGAACAACAAATATTCCAGTGATGTGTGGCCTCCTAAGATGCACAATTCCACTCCTCCATTCCATCACAAACACATCTGGTAACACTCCAAACCTGTACATAGCATTCAAGCATCTAGTTTTTTCTTTTTCTTAGTTCATTTTTTTCTTGTTTGTTTATCCTCATTCTCAAGTTTTTATTACACAGGGACTGTGTAATTTAAGTGTTGGGAAGGGGTTTTGTGTTTACTAATCATGTTTTTCTATGTTCTTATTTTCTCTTTTGCATCTTGAGTCTCATTTGATCATGCATAGCATCTAAGTGCATAGAAAAAGAAAAATCTTGAGTCTCATTTAGTTGCATTCACATTTTAGGATTTTGTCTAGATTGCATTTCATATAGGTTTGCATCATTTGCATGGGAGTAATGATAGGTTTTTTGAGAGAGCATCATTTTAAGAGTTTAGTTCATGGTCCTAGCTATTAGTTCTTTGATGCTTGCAAGTGATGAAATGTGTGGCATTGTTTAGACCTTGGTTAAAACAAGCTTTCAATTGAACTCAGCCTTAGCAAGTGGAACTTTTAACCTGACTTTAAATTATCATGTGATGCTTGCTTAGATGAACTTGTGGATAGTTATACATATTTGAGTTAGAAACCCATTTTTACCACTCTCTTCCTTAGCTCAAATAGCTGATTCCTAATTTTGGTCCACACCCTAAACCAATCCTCCTTTCAAGCCAACTGTTTGTGAGTGTTGAGAGGCCACCTCGGATCAAACTTAGCAGAAAGTAGGTTTAGAGCGACTAATAACACCCGATTTTGACTACTTTTCACCATTGATTTCAAATGCTTTTTCAAAGGTTTTACTTATTTTTAGGTACTTTTATTATGATTTCCATGTATTTGTAGTTTCAAGGCTCTTTTCAGAAAACTTAGGGAATATGATAGCAAAATGGAAGAAATCCACTTTTTCAGCTCAGAGTCAGACCGTCAGAAGTTCAGCCTCAAATGAAGACTTTCTCACTGTCTGATCCAGATCAAATTTGGAGACAATCAAGAAGAGACAACCAGTTCTCCATAGCACTTTACATCACAAAGATCCAATGGTGCAATCAAAAGATACATGGAGAACAAGTTGACCCAATTTACTAGTCCTAGAAGACTCTCACCCGCGGTAAACGCATGTTTTACCTGCCCTGGAAGACTCTCACCCCCGGTGGACTTTAGGACGAGTCACAAGGCCCAACATCAAAGCCCACTTCGCTGTTTCTCTTCAGAGAAGCCCTAAATGAGACCTGGAAGACCTTATGACCTATAAATACATTGTTTAGCAGTCCTAAACGGGTATGTGCTCCTGTAATGAGATTTTGAGCCACCAAACTTTGTTTTTCTAGGATTAGGCGATGGAGATGGGGATTATTCCCCAGATCCATTGTTCTTTCTCCTTTCTATTCTATTAACTTTTCTGTTTCATTCTTTTGCATTCTTCTATGTCTTTCATCATTTGTTGCATTATGTAGATTTATCCCAGAGAGTCAAGTTGTTTGAAGATATCGACAAGCATATATATCGATTAGGATTTCATTTTTTCTAGACCATATTCTGGATCTCATCTCTTCTAAGTTGTTCATAAAGCATGAGAGTAGATTCATGACCTATTCTCTGAGCCTAGGATTGATCAGAGCCACGAGAGTGTTGTATCAGATCATCCGTACCTAGCTTCAGAAGAACATAGTCACTATAGGAGTCGAAAACTACCTATAGAGAAGATGTGA